GAATTAAAAAGCAATTTTGGACTGACCAATGTAGATATTTGCAACTTAAACACTTCATATCACAAAATGTATATTTGAAATCTTTTAGACATCAGAGCAACCTTGAGGGAATCTTATTTTAGTCAGAAAATGATGTTCATATGATAGGTAAGACATACCAAACCTTGCAGAGAGCCGATCCAACTGACAACCTCTTAGGAAAAAAAAGTATAAACTATTGGAACCAAGATTGATATTGGCACAAGATGGAGGGAGTGTTGGGACATAACTAATGAATTTACAGTTAATGAAAATGTACGCTTAATCCAATATAAAGTAATGTACAGAACGTGCACTGAGTTTACAAAACATTAGGAACACCTGCTCTTTCCTTTGACAGACTGACAAGGTGAATCCAGGTGAAAACTATGATCCCTTATTGATGTCACTTGTTAAATCCACTTCAAATCAGTGTAGATGAAGGGGAGGAGACGGGTTAAAGAAGGATTTTTTAAAGCCTTGAGACAATTGAAACATGGATTGTGTATGTGTGCCATTCGGAGGGTGAATGGGCAAGACAAAAGATTTGAACGGGGTATGGTAGTAGGTGCCAGGCGCAACGGTTTGTGTCAAGAACTGCTCAACAGTTTCCCGTGTGTATGAACAATGGTCCACCACCCAAAGGACATCCAGCCAACTTGACACAACCGTGGGAAGCATTGGAGTCAACATTGGCCAGCATCCCTGTGGAATGCTTTCGACACCTTGTAGAGTCCATGCCCCAACAAATTGAGGCTGTTCTGAGGGCAAAAGGGGGGGGTGCAACTCAATATTAGGAAGGTGTTCCTAATGTTTGGTATACTCAGTGTATTATACAAGTCTTGTCTTAAGTGTAAAACTAACAATGACTCAATAATCCATGCCTTCTGGGAATGCTATAATGTCCAAAAGTTATTGGCGGAGTTAGAAACTTGGCTGTCAGAAATATTACAATGTAAATTCACTTTGAATCCGTCTGTCTGCATATTTTTCAAGACGTGGCATATGAGGGTGCAGTGAGACACCCGATGGGTTAGACAATACTTTTCTTGTCAATCCTCTTGAAAAAAACGTATATACTTAAAAACTGGAAATTAACCAATCGTCCATCGTTAACTAAATGGAAAGATCAAATGCTTTATTATCTAAATATTCAAAGTGGCGGGCAACAGAGAGAAACAAGCCGGTGCAGTTTAAGGCCATGTGGCGAAGAGTGACGCGGGCGCTGGAGATGGGGGTGTGGCCACGTGTGACGTCATTGATGTTTGTCTGCCTTTGTATAATGTAGTTTGTATGTGTTTTGTATTGTTGAAAATAAATAATAATCTTCACAACAACAAAAATATATCTATGCACAACTGTACCTCTGAGTTCCTTTGGTCTATGAGGTTTCTGGCTGAGAGGAGCTCGTCTTCTCCGTTGTGCAGACGCAGCTCCATGGCATGTATCTCTGCCTCCCACTCGGTCTTCTTACAGTTCACCATGATGTCTATCTGTCTCATCAGCTCCTGCAGCTCGGGCTCACAGGACGTCAGGACAGAGCTGGAAGGGTGGAGCGGGACAACATTTAGTATCTGAAATGCTGAGGTCTTTAAAAAATAATATCTTCAATGCTACTCCTATTAGAACTAAAAGGTAGCTCCTAGTGTCTGATCTCACCTCACGTCATGGTCTTGCAGAGATCCCAAAAAGGCATCCATCTCGAGTAATTGGCTTCTAACCGGCATCCACTTAGCTACATGGTCTCTGTAAATAAAACAAATAATGTATGACTCATGATTAGGACTGGGAAGCTACTTTTGAAATTCACTTAAATGAGCGAAAGTTCGATAGCTAACAGTTAGTTAGCCAGCAGTCCATCATCACCACTGTGTGCAGAGAGGTCACCAGAACAAGCTTTGATCATGCAGACCTCTACGCCAGCTTGCCAACAAGATTGTATCAAATGTATTGATTGTCAGCTAGCTAGCTTGCCAAACAATGCAGTTAGTTGTACTAGTTAGCTAGCTAAGTAATCAAGGACAGGATAACATTACATTAGCTTGTTAGCTACTAACGAGCTAGCAACTTGGTTAGCTAGCTAACTGTTGATAACAAAGCTAGAGACACTTAACTAGCTATGAATTTAACGTGTATGCGTAGTCAAACATCCATGTAAATAAGAGATTACATTAATTTGCTGAAGCGTACACATTCACAATGAGATAATCAATATTCTACTCACACGAATAGCAAGGCCTCGTAGATAGCGGCTAGTGAGCTCTAGCTAACAACTGTTGTGTTTACAGTTCGAGAGCCCGTTTCCCCGCAGGGCATTCTGGGATATAACAACTTCTGTCTAACCGAAATAGCTAACGCTAGTCCATCAAAAATACCCCTCTCACCAAAAATAACGCTAGTCCATCAAAAATACCCCTCTCACCAAAAATAACGTTAGTCCATCAAAAATACCCCTCTCACCAAAAATAACGTTACCTAGCTATCTCTGGTAGGCAAGTTAGGTAGCTACGGTAGCTAGCTAGCTACCCAAATTGTGAGTTGTAGCTACTATGCTGTCATGCAAACTATTATCTAACCGTAACATATGTGATAACGTTAGCTAGTTAGCCAGCAAAGAAGCAAACGTTTCGGTAACACATTTGTCCATCCTTAAACAAACAATGCAACATGTAATTTGCTAGTTAACATGGCACATTAGATATGCTTTGTATACTCAAATTGTGGGTTAAGAAAAACGGTGTGTTGTATTGTAGTAATTTATAACGTAAAATGTCAACAGCCAGTGCACGTGGCTCGTTGGTCTAGGGGTATGATTCTCGCTTCGGGTGCGAGAGGTCCCGGGTTCAAATCCCGGACGAGCCCATTTTTTTTTACATTGGCGATTGCTAAATCAGAATGAAGTTTATTATGCGTTCCCCGTGACATCGGTGGAGATTGCTTAATAGTGCCGTTTGTGGTATCCAATCCGTCTTGAAATAACGGTATAGCTATCTATATGTTGTAATATGTTCTGCATATTATATTGTGGCTCGTTGGTCTAGGGGTATGATTCTCGCTTTGGGTGCGAGAGGTCCCGGGTTCAAATCCCGGACGAGCCCATCTTTTTCAGTCCCGATACGTCATAAATCAGACTCATGCGTTCATCTCAAACGATGCAGATAATTAACCTAGATAGAGAAAATAAGTCTTTGGACTAAGGGTTTTACATTTGTTTGCTTTTATGTTTGACTGTAATCTCTCTCTTTCAATTCAAGTGGGATTTATTGGCATGGGAAACATGTTTACATTGCCAAAGCAAGTGAAATAAACAATAAACAAAAGTGAGAAGACACAGAACAACAACAACAACAACAAAAACGATTAGAATTTAAAAGTAAGTATTGCACTCAAAAAGGTTTCCCTCCCCCCTCCACCAATACTCTGTCAGGCACCCTAAACAAAGGGAGTGAGCTCCCAGCCAGTCAGACAGCTTTGAGCCCAGTCACCCCTCCTCCCCTCTGGGCTGCTAGTAAACCTTCACACAGGCAGGCAGGCAGGCCATCCCTTGGCTGCCACAGCTGCTGTACCGGTTAGGCCTACCCTTGGAAGAGCGACAGCCCCAAACTGCCCCCCACAACACACAGACACTGAAAAGGAGGCAGGGAGCAGAGCACTCTTTCGTTCTGTCTCTATCTCTCTAACATATAGTATAGCTACAGGACCACAACTAATACCTCCTGGAATATTTATCCATATTTACTGTAAGTATATTATCTCATTTTATTTTAAAAGTAAAACATTTTTATTGATTGAGAAGTTTGATGTTAGTGTGATGTTCATAAAAAAAAAAAAAACATTGTAAAGTGGTTATCCCACTGGCTATAAGGTGAATGCACCAATTTGTAAGTCGCTCTGGATAAGAGCGTCTGCTAAATGACGTAAATGTAAATGTAAATGTTCATTTTAGGATGTAGTTGAACAGAAATGGTCATGATGTATTTTTTATAACGATTAATAATCAAATTGATTTCGAAGTACATACCTTGAGAACGTCTTATCGAGAATTAATAAACCAACCTTTCATGTGATTAGTGAGAACCTCTTAAACCTGTTCACTTAAAACTCTTTGTGACTGTTTATGGACATACACACTTTTAATTGATGTCACTCATTTTGTATATCTCTGCATGTAAAGGACATAATGACTGAAACATCTGTATCTGAATTTTTTTAACCACAGAGAGATGAACAGAGAAGAACTGCAAAACAAAATAAACAAACTGGGACACAATAATCATCAGCCCAATTTCTGCTGACCCAGCAGTAACTCCATCGCCTCAGCAACTCCTCTTCTCAGACAGATAGACAGACAGACAGACTGACAGACTGACAGACAGACAGACAGACAGACAGACAGACAGACAGACAGACAGACAGACAGCCAGACTGACAGACAGACAGACAGACAGACAGACAGACAGACAGACAGACAGACAGACAGACAGACAGACAGACAGACAGACAGACAGACAGACTGACAGACCCATCCAGCCACGTCATCTGTGTCTTCCCCCCACCTGGTTTAGTGCCTGCCTAGTTAGGTGTCCAGTATCTAGTTAGGTGTCCACTATCTAGTTAGGTGTCCAGTATCTAGTTAGGTGTCCAGTATCTAGTTAGGTGTCCAGTATCTAGTTAGGTGTCCAGTATCTAGTTAGGTGTCCAGTATCTAGTTAGGTGTCCAGTCTCTGCTGCTCCAGCCCTGTGCTCCAGTCTCTGCAGCCCACCCAGGCCCCTCCAGACCAGGCTTCCTCAGGTCCAGGTATCCCTGCCAGGCCTACTGCCCAGAACCTGCTGATTCAGCCATACTAACCCAGTCACCTCCAGCCTTCGCGGCCTCCACTCCTCCAGCCAGGTAGGTCTGCCAGCCCAGTGCTCTAGACTTGCTGCTCCTCCCAGGCTCTTCCAGTCCAGGTCCAGCTATCACTGCCCGGCCCGGCCCGGCCATGGTTCTGTGTGAGGACAGGGAGTGTGGGGTGTGTTATCAGCCCTACTCCCGTCAGGAGCGGATCCCCCGGGTGCTCCACTGCAGACACACCTTCTGTGCCACCTGCTTAGAGACCATGTCGCAGCCCAAGAGTGGCATGCTCACCGTGTGCTGCCCGCTGTGCCGCCAGACCACCTGTGTAGGGCGCGGCCTTAGCCTTCAGGAGGCGCTGTGGGTCAACTCACGCCTCTGGGACTACATACCTGAGAGCAAAGAAGAAGAGGAGGAGGAGGAGGAGGAGGTGAAGGAAGAAGAGGAGGAGGAGGAGGTGAAGGAAGAAGAGGAGGAGGAGGAGAGGGTGGAGGCTAACAGACAGACACAGGCCTCCTCACAGGCAGAATGGTGAGCCTTTTTCACTTGACCCACATTACAAAATACTACAGTTTACTATAGAATACTACAGTTTACTATAGAATACTACAGTTTATTATAGAATACTACAGTTTACTATAGAATGCTACAGTTTACTATAGAATGCTACAGTTTACTATAGAATACTACAGTTTCAAATAAAATAAAATCACATTTTATTGGCCACATGCGCCGAATACAACAGGTGCAGACATTACTGTGAAATGCTTACTTACAGCCCTTAACCAACAGTGCATTTATTTTTAATAAAAAAGTAGAATAAAACAACAAAAAAGTGTTGAGAAAAAAAGAGCAGAAGTAAAATAAAATAACAGTAGGGAGGCTATATATACAGGGGGGTACCGGTGCAGAGTCAATGTGCGGGGGCACCGGCTAGTTGAGGTAGTTGAGGTAATATGTACATGTGGGTAGAGTTAAAGTGACTATACATAAATAATTAACAGAGTAGCAGCAGCGTAGAAAGGATGGGGTGGGGGGGCAGTGCAAATAGTCCGGGTAGCCATGATTAGCTGTTTAGGAGTCTTATGGCTTGGGGGTAGAAGCTGTTGAGAAGTCTTTTGGACCTAGACTTGGCGCTCCGGTACCGCTTGCCGTGCGGTAACAGAGAGAACAGTCTATGACTAGGGTGGCTGGAGTCTTTGACAATTACTATAGAATACTACAGTTTACTATATAATACTAGTTTATTATAGAATACTACAGTTTACTATAGAATACTACAGTTTATTATAGAATACAACAGTTTATTATAGAATACTACACTTTATTATAGAATACTACAGTTTTACTTACTATATAATACTGCAGTACTTACTATAGAATATATTTGTTGACATTTTTGTCATTTAGCAGACGCTCTTATCCAGAGCAAATAACAGTAGTGAGTGCATACCTTTTCCACACTTTTTTCCCGCACTGTTCCCGCCATACTGGTTTATTGTAGAATACTACAGTACTTACTATAGAACACTACCATATTAGTATAGCATACTACAGTTTATTGTAGAATACTACAGTTTACTATAGAACACTACCATATTAGTATAGCATACTACAGTTTATTGTAGAATACTACAGTACTTACTATAGAACACTACCATATTAGTATAGCATACTACAGTTTATTGTAGAATACTACAGTACTTACTATAGAACACTACCATATTAGTATAGCATACTACAGTTTATTGTAGAATACTACAGTATTACTATAGAACACTACCATATTAGTATAGCATACTACAGTTTATTGTAGAATACTACAGTACTTACTATAGAACACTACCATATTAGTATAGCATACTACAGTTTATTGTAGAATACTACAGTACTTACTATAGAACACTACCATATTAGTATAGCATACTACAGTTTATTGTAGAATACTACAGTACTTACTATAGAACACTACCATATTAGTATAGCATACTACAGTTTATTGTAGAATACTACAGTACTTACTATAGAACACTACCATATTAGTATAGCATACTACAGTTTATTGTAGAATACTACAGTACTTACTATAGAACACTACCATATTAGTATAGCATACTACAGTTTATTGTAGAATACTACAGTACTTACTATAGAACACTACCATATTAGTATAGCATACTACAGTTTATTGTAGAATACTACAGTACTTACTATAGAACACTACCATATTAGTATAGCATACTACAGTTTATTGTAGAATACTACAGTACTTACTATAGAACACTACCATATTAGTATAGCATACTACGTTTATTGTAGAATACTACAGTACTTACTAGAACACTACATATTAGTTAGCATACTACAGTTTATTTGTAGAAATACTACTTACTATAGAATACTACAGTTTACTATAGAATACTACAGTATTTACTATATAATTCTGTAGTAAACTGTAATGTACTGTAGAATACTATACTATACACTGTGTAGTACTTACTATAGAATGTTGTAGTATACTGCAGAAGACTACAGTAAATACTACAGTATTATCCGCAAAAACATAAACACACACAGACACACACACACACACACACACAGACACACACACACACACACACACACACACACAGCACACACACACCACACACACACACAACACACACACACACACACACACACACACACACACACACACACACACACACACACACACACACACACACACACACACACACACACACACACACACACACACACACACACACACACACACACACACACAGACACACACACACACACATTTTGTTTCAACCTCATTCTAAAATTGATTAAATTAAATGTTTTTCTCATCAATCAACACACAATACCCCATAATGACAAAGCGAAAACAGGTTTTTAGACATTTTTGCAAATGTATAATAAAAAATAAAAAAAAGTATCTTATTTACATAAGTATTCAGACCCTTTGCTATGAGACTCGAAATTGAGTTCAGATGCATCCTGTTTCCATTGATCATCCTTGAGATGTTTCTACAACTTGATTGGAGTCCACCTGTGGTAAATTCAATTGATTGGACATGATTTGGAAAGGCACACACCCGTCTATATAAGGTCCCACAGTTGACAGTGCATGTCAGAGCAAAAACCAAGCCATTAGGTTGAAGGAATTGTCCGTAGAGCTCCGAGACAGGATTGTGTCGAGGCACAGATCTGGGGAAGGGTACCAAAACATTTCTGCAGCATTGAAGGTCCCCAAGAACACAGTGGCCTCCATCATTCTTAAATGGAAGAAGTTTGGAACCACCAAGACTCTTCCTAGAGCTGGCCGCAATCTGAGCAAAGCTTGTAGCGTCATACCCAAGAAGACTCGAGGCTGTATTCGCTGGTAAAGGTGCTTCAACAAAGTACTGAGTAAAGGGTCTGAATACTTATGTAAATGTAATATTAAAGTTTTTTATTTTAAATTTGCAAACATTTCTAAAGACCTGTTTTTGCTTTGTCATTATGGGGTATTGTGTGTAGATTGATGAGGGGGAAAAAACAATTTAATCAATTTTAGAATAAGGCTGTAACGTAACAAAATGTGGAAAAAGTCAAGGGGTCTGAATACTTTCTGAATGCACTGTATGTAGAAATTCCTCTGTCTTACCCTCCGTACCAGCATGCCCCTACCCTCAGTGTCATAATAGAGGAGTGTGGGTATTTAGTAACACTGTTGTCTGGTTGTCCATAGGTGGTGACCAGTATCTAGGCTACATACAGTACCATGATGACCCAATAATAGACATTACAGAACCATCATTCTGCTTTAACCACAAACAATGTCCAAATGGTCCTAGTGGTCCTCTGTAGCTCAGCTGGTAGAGCACGGCGCTTGTAACGCCAAGGTAGTGGGTTCGATCCCCGGGACCACCCATACACAAAAAAAATGTATGCACGCATGACTGTAAGTCGCTTTGGATAAAAGCGTCTGCTAAATGGCATATTATTATTATTATAAATACAGAACATGACTACTCTTCCTCCACTGTCCTTGGACTGTTCCTGTTACTCACCAAATCTCTCTCACTCTCTCCTCCTTCATCCTCTCAGGCCTACGTCGAAGCTCTCTAGAAAAAAGCTGAAATTGCCGGCCTTCCTCAGGAAATTCAGTCTGACAAAACCACAGCATCAAGAGAGGATTGTGCCTGGTTGTGCCAATGTGTAAGTCCTCCTCACCTTGTGTTGCATCATCTGCTTTGTCCTTGGTCGCATCCCAAAGGGCACCCTATTCCCTATATAGTGCACTACTTTAGACCAGAGAATGGCACCCTATTCCCTATATAGTGCACTACTTTAGACCAGAGAATGGCACCCTATTCCCTATGTAGTGCACTACTTTAGACCAGAGAATGGCACCCTATTCCCTATGTAGTGCACTACTTTAGACCAGGAGCTCTGGTCAAAAGTAATGCACTATATAGGGAATAGGGTGCCATTTGATATGCACACATTATAATCTACAGATGTAGGATCTTTAATTTGATCACTCTTTTGTTGCTGAGAATTTTCCTGCACCTGCAGGAAATGCAAACTTGTAGTGTATTCAAGGTTTAAAAAGGCTTCTAAAGTTTATCATTTCCGCTTTAAAATGTCAGACTTGATTTATAAGGAAGTCCTGCTGAAGTTGCGTACTGTGGTAGAAACATTTCAACATCCAGACATGAATCCCTTAGAACTCCACTCTGTGATCAAAACATGTTGAGAAATCCTAAACGTGATTAAAAGGAATTTGTCCTTTAATCAAGGTATCGTTATTTAGCTATCTTCTGTACCAGCCATAATAACCCTGTGTTATTACATGTATGATCATTGAAAGCAAAAGTGGTCACTCATGCTTACAATGGTGAAACTATGACATTTTTTTTGAACATATTAATTTGAGGTTCACTCGGAATGTTAACTTATTTTGTGCTTCTGTATTTGGTACGTGGCTATGTGCTGGCTATGTGTACTCATGTATGTATTTTGTTTGTCCAACAGGAAGATTACATCCTGGCGCAGGCTTCCAACTGCCGAGACTTTTTAGGTCTCTCATGCACTAGACACAGGGGTGTACTGTATCAACAGAGGAGGGTCTACAGTTCCTCTCAGATGTAATAATATGCATTTTATTTTTTATTTTTTTAAACAATGAAGCGTAGATTACCAGTTGACCCCCCCCCACAGTCAACCCCGTTAGAACAGCTCAGAGACAGTTAGGCCTGCGTCCCAAACCCCACCCTATCCCCTATGGGGGGGGGGGCTCTGGTTAAAAGCAGTGCACTACATAGGGAATAGGGTGGCATTTGGGACACACGTTTTAGAGAATCCAGTATGCGTGTCTGACTCTGACAAGACATCCTTTATTGTTGAGAAGCAGTGAAACCGCCACTAGTTATTCCAGCCTTAATTCCCCACAGCTGGTGCAGTGGGATCTGGTTCAGCTGTCTCTATAGGACAGACGTCCCAGTGGAAGCCAGGGTACCCCCTCCAACCCCCCCCCCCCCCCCC